TATATTCCAGTAATATCTTCCGATGAAGTTTTACACTCTTTAAAAACCTTAAAAGCGTCATTTAGGCCTGGACCTGATCATATTCCGACCTGTTTTCTTAAAAACTGCGCTGAGAACATCTGCGAGCCTTTAACAACTCTATTCAATTTGTCACTTAAACATGGCGTTTTTCCGTCAGCCTGGAAGGAGTCTTTCATAATACCACTTCACAAAAACGGCAGCAGGTCGTCTATAGAAAACTTTCGAGGCATAGCGAAACTCTCCGCTATCCCCAAATTATTCGAAGCAATTATTGTTAACCAGCTGACATATTCTATATCTTCTTCAATTACACAATCTCAACACGGGTTTTCTAAAGGAAAATCTACTATGACTAATTTATTGGAGTTTACAACTCATGTCTCAAACGGTTTTAGAGAATACGCTCATACCGACGTAATTTACACCGATTTCAGTAAAGCTTTTGACAAAGTATGTCCCTCGTTACTCATCCGTAAACTCGACCTAATCGGCTTTCAGCCCAGTCTTCTTCAATGGATCTCATCTTACCTCTCTGATAGAACACAAAGAGTTATTGTTAATAATTGTTCTTCCAACATCATTAAAGTTTCTTCAGGAGTTCCTCAGGGAAGCCACCTTGGTCCGATTCTGTTCCTGATATTCATTAATGATATTTCTTCTATAATAAAACATTCAAAAATTTTAATGTATGCCGATGATGTGAAACTTTTTAAAACATTGTCCTCTATCGAAGAAAGGTCTTTGTTACAAGCGGATCTGAACAACGTGGTTAGTTGGTGTAATACAAACTATATGCCACTAAACCTTCAAAAATGTAAAGTTATGTGTTTCTCTCGGAGGGCTGTTCAACCAGCTGTTTATTCAATATCAAATTATATTCTGGAGCAGGTATCCAATTTTGTCGATCTTGGCATCACAATGGATTCCAAACTGAATTTCAACCATCATATTAATGTTACAGTCAATAAAGCCAAAGGCGTTTTTGCATTTGTAAGGCGATGGTCAAAAGAGTTCAAAGATCCTTATGTTACAAAAGCTCTTTTTACCAGTTTAGTTAGACCTATACTAGAATACGGATCTATTGTTTGGAATCCCCGCTACCAAGTTCATTCAGAAAGGATTGAATCAATTCAAAAACAATTCTTGCTTTTTGCATTGCGTAATTTTAACTGGGATTCAGATTACAATCTCCCCCCTTACACAAGTCGTCTAAAGCTCATAAATTTGCCTACACTCGCAAGTCGTAGAGAAATGCTGGGTATAATATTTATCGTAAAATTAATGACAGGCTTGATTAATAGCCCGGCCCTCCTGGCTGAGGTAAATTTTAATGTTCCTTCTCGAATGTCAAGACACTTTCGACCTCTATTTTTAAAGCCATGCAAAACTAATTTTGAACTAAACGAATCATTCCGTGGTTTATGTCAAGATTTTAACTGTCATTCCAGCACGTTTGACGTATCGGACTCGATTTTTACTATAAAGAAAACTATTATTTCCACTCTCAATAATTGAAATACTATCTTTAGCATATCCAATCAGCTGATGAATTTGATTCTGTAGCTGAATAGTTTTAGATCTCGACACTTAACAAACTCATGTTTCCACTACTCGGCACGAAAAAACTAAAAAAAAAAAAAAGGTTCCGTACGTCATCCGGACTGCGCCCCTCGTGTCGGTTGGGCGGGAATGGAGGGTAAAAAGCCGTTGGGATTAATTAATTAATCCGATGAGACGGCTCTTGGAGTATTCGAGGGTAAGATTTTGCGGAAGATTTACTGGCCTTTACGCGTTGGCGACAACGAGTACTGCAGACGATGAGCTGTATGAGCTTTACAACGACATGGACATAGTCGTGGGGCGATTCCCCGCTTTGCAGGGAGTTTGAGTTTGCGTGGGGAATCGGGGAATGGACCGTTTTTTTGTGAGGAATTTCAGTTAACGTGGGGAATTCGGTGATGGTTTTTTTGTGAGGAATCAGGTGTGACTATTTTTTTTTCTTTTTTGCTTCATTAATTTCATAATGAGTTAAAAAAGTTGCATAAGAAATACAACTGCAACTAAAAGAACTGCTTTTGCATCCCTGCCAATTGTGCAAATAACCGTTGATATATTAGAATTTCCTTTGTCGCATTTGCTTTCCTATAGTGAATAAAACAATTTATGTTTATATGGAAGAAAACCGCAACACCAAACAAAATTCTAAAAGTAAAATTTTTAGCCACTTGAAACTTGCTTTTTTATTATACTAGAACTGAGTGTGCTACAATACTGCATAACCAAAATCTTTCTAGGGAATTGAATTAAAAAAGCTCGAACATTTTACGAAAGTTTCTTATTGCACAAAGTTTGAAACTTGGATTTAAGCGGTTTTATTGGAGAATAAACTATATTTTTATAAAAAATAACTCAAATTAAATAACAAAAAAAAAGTAATAATTTTGAAAACTTTTCAAAATTTGGTGCGAGTAAATTTTTTCGACCACTGTATGTATATAAGTATTATATGTAAATCTTTTATTCTTTATTTGTTAACTTACTTTACAAAAGTTTGGCTTGATTTATGGGTACATAAATAAATTACATTTAGATATAAAATAAACAAAAAGACCAACAAAATATCAAAATAAAATTTTTTTAATAAGGAGATATATGGGGAGTTTTACGAAATTTCGGACAAAATCGGGGAATTTCATAGTCGAAATCAGAGAGTTCTCAAAAATGAGTTGGCTACCCTGATACAGCGGCTCCGCCGGCTTGGCCATGTCGTTCGAAGGGACACCGACGGTCCAGCTCTGAAAGTATTCAGCTCAGAACCCGCTGGTGGTAGCAGAGGAGGAGGGAGGCCTTCACTGCGATGGAAATACCAGGTGGAGCAGGATTTGGCTTCACTTGGCATTTCCAATTGTCGCCAGTTGGCACAGAAGAGAAACGACTGGCGTGCTTTGTTGAACACAGCCGAAATTGCTTAGGCGGTTACAGCGCAAAATAAGAAGAAAAAGGCACCCATGTTAGGTTACCTAATTCCCTCAAGTAAATAAATTTAATTTTTTAAACAGGTTGCAATCCTTCTACATGTAGTTTAGCAGTAAAGCATGTCTAAAAAGATTTCGATCGTTACACATATTGTAATATCTAACTCAATTAACTTTTAAATTTCACCTTTCCAAAAAAAATCTACCGGCCAAGCTCGGTAACCGGATACCTTACATATGTAAATTGAATAAACTATGTGTTTATACCCAAGTAAATGTTACAAGAACCCGAATTTTCAACTTTAAACTGGATTTACAGTGAAAGTATGGAAGTTATAAAAAAAGAACAAATAACAAAAACAAATAAAAAAAGAATATTAATGAATTCGGCGCCCTTAAGTTCACTAAGAAACAAATTTTCATTTAAATCCGTACTTTATTCTATTATTTCCCACATTTTATATGGAAGGGAAACACTGTGCGATGACTGGAATTTAGGTGAGTTCTGCTCAATTCGTAAGAAAAGCCACCACGCCATACACGACAACTACCGTTGGCTACGAAAAAATTCCGTTTCGTAGTATATCTATTTAAAAAGAAAGTATTTTTTGCAGTACGAGTATTCGTTATTTTTTGAAACAGGTTTTTAATAAAATAAAGGAACTCCTTGGTACTATGTCTACCTGATGCGGTCTAACGAAAGCCATGTAAATCCGAATTTTTTGCTTTGTAAAAACGACGAAACTAATATATGTGGCTGTGTAAAATGACGTTTAGCAGTACCACCAGCTTCATCAGAATTTGAAAAGACCTCTCCGAATTACTTAACTAATAGAAAAATAACTGTTTTTAACTATTGCATCTTTAGTATCAAAAAAAATATTTCTCCGAATGAATGTATCGATTCAACGACAGACTACACCGATCTTTAATAATATACATAAATCCTTAATATACAGTGGCGAAAATATAAATACGGAAGAGGTATTTTATGAAAGTGTATCTCATTATCTAACAAAAACCATCTAAGTCAAAATTTCAAACTTTTTAATTAGATTTCTTAGAAACTATCTGAGTATGCAGTAGCCCGCTGAATTTTAGTCAAGCAATGTGCCGTTGATTTTTGGCAATTTGTTTGTAGGAGGTGTTAGTCATTTCTCCAATTGTCCAACATACTTTGTATGGGAGAAAATGCGCGAACAAAAAATTGCCAAAAATTATTTACATTCTCGCCACCGTATGTATGTATGTACATAAATAGTTTTACTTCATGCCACCTTAAAGGTGAGCGTGCATACTACATATTTTTTCTTCTGACATATACTACGTTTATACGCACAGAATAATCGACTTAATTGAAAGCGGATTGACACCGTACACATTTCGCTCTAGTGTTTATACTTACGGCTTTATATCGACATCAAAGTAACCGTCTTCAAAAGCAAACAAAATAAGCTGTTTTCATTTGACATTTTATAAGTTAACATAATGGAAAGTGATAAAAATCTAGTTTTATTCGGCATTATAAAATCGTGGCAAAGAAAAAGAACGATTATTATTAATCAGCTTTTAAATACTGATGCGATCATTTGGAATTTGAGCGGAACAGCTGATCTCCAATTCGCTTTGAGTGAGAGCGGTGTTTATACACTCTTTCTAACTGTCTGGAGAAATCAACTACCGATTTGAAATGGAGTGTGAGCCAAAACACTTCGCTCTTTCAAAGCGAATTGAAATTCAGTTTATACATATGTTTTGAATCGTGGCGAAATGAATTAAAGCGACTTATGCATGCGCATAAACGTAGTATCTGTCTGGAGAAATAAACTACCGATTTGAAATGGAGTGTGAGCCAAAACACTTCGCTCTTTCAAAGCGAATTGAAATTCAGTTTATACATATGTTTTGAATCGCGGCGAAATGAATTAAAGCGACTTATGCATGCGTATAAACGTAGTAATAGTGTACTTTTATACGGAGCTTATAAAATGAAATTTTACTCACTTCAGGGCTTCATGATTTATCATTCCAAGTGCATTTACGGCCGCATCGCGAACGTCAACTACCTCACAGCGTAGCAGAGGCACAACCAGCTTGTAAAGTGCTTGGGGCGAAGCGGAACCCATAACAGATTTATCACTTCGATCGGCATTCAAAGAGTCGGGTGATGAGCTAAAAGAGTACGTGTAAAAAAAGCATTATTTGAAATATTAACTGAAAATAGTATGTATATATATTCATTAAATTAATTTTTTCCCTTATTTGCTTCAAAATAAGTTTTTTTTTATTGTTGCCAAAGGAGAACTTTTAAAAGCTTGTTTATATTTTCTCTTTTACTTCTTGAGCAAATTGCAATAGTTACTAAAGTCTACTAGAAGGCAGAAATCAATCAACAATTTTTGCTACTAAATACTTAATGCTCAGCTGTTTCGATTATTATAAAATAAAAATATTTTCATAGCTTAGGAAAAGTAAGATATAAATACAAAATTAAAAATTACAATATTAAGTTGTGCGATAGCAAAAGGAAGCCGTGAGTGAGGAAGCAATACGGGTTTTTACTACATACATATGTATAACTAATACTAGCAAACTATTTTTAAGGGGTGCATAACCGTATAAACAAAAAAAATTGCTTTGTTACTTATCAAAACAAATAATTAAAATTAAAAGAAATATTAAGATAAATGGTGAAAATTGTCATTATGTGAGTGTCGTAAAGTTATGATAAGCACTATATGTATTTATGTCGAATCCAACTTTCTGATACTACTTTTTGTCAATTTTCGTGGTGCACGTACAAAATTTCACATTAAACTGTGTAACCAGACATTTGCATGCGCATAAAAATATTAATGACTTGAAAAATATACTAAAAATTTAAAACATTAACATAACCGTTCTTAATAATTTTTATTATAAGAGCGTTTACGAAAACATCTGTATTCAACGTTTAAAATAAATTAATAAGTCCCGGCTTAATTAGTGTTACCCCGATGTACTACTGTAGTAGTACATGTAGTACTACTCAGGGATGGGCGTAATCAGGAAAATGAATAATTGAATAAAAAATAAATAAGAATAAGTTTTCATTCATCATTTCAACATTTTTGAATAACGAATAAATTTTTATTCTTCATTCAAGCACTTACGAATGATGAATAAATTTTCATTCATCATTCAAGTAATTTCAAATAAAGAAAAATTTTTTATTCTTCATTCAAGCACTTTCGAATGTGCGTATGCAGACTTTTTAAGCCCAATCTGTTTTGTCATCTGAGGAGACTTTTTGCAAAAAAAAAAATACTCCATTTTTGGAGGTATTTTCAAATCGGTCCAGCTCGCTTAAATCTTAATATTTTTCCGAAATATTTTGGTGGACGTCTTAAAATATAATAGATTTTGTAATCCCGGCGGAAAAACCGAAACTTTTTTGGTGCAGTATATAGATAATTAAATAAGTACATACTTATGTTCATGCTTATTTACATACATATGTAAATTTTGATATTATATTTTCCAATATTTCCTACACAATAAATATGTATATACGACATGAACATTTACCATGATGGTCGTTCCCAAACTTTATTTACCGCTGCACCCCTACTCATCAAATGTCTACGAAAACAAGAAAACACAATGCAAACTTTATGCTCCTTTAGCTTTAATGTGAGGACTGAAATTGTTTTGATGATTGCGTTATTTCCTTTCAGTTTATTGAGAGCTTTGACAATTTTACCCTGAAATCATTTGACGCTGACTTCACAAAAATGAGAAGGTTATTAATTCGTCGGAATATTTTTTTATTACTATTTTTATTTTTTTTATGTTTCCGCATAACTTTGGACCACGTTAACCGATTACTATAACTCTTTTCTTAGAAGAAAGGTGTTACCTCACAGGCGGTCCCATTCTAATTTGGTTTAAATCCGATGATTCGATCATGAAGAGATAACCGATATCTTAAATTTGTATATGAGAATTAAAGTCGGTTTTGTTTTTTGCTTAAAAATTATTTGTTCATGTAAGCATTTGTTGAAAATGCAGTCTCATATAGAAATGTAAAAGTAAAAGTCACTTGAATTTTTAATGCAATCTTGCCAACAGCAGTGTTTTCTACATACACTTGCATCCAGAACTCTCTTGGCTCCCTTCGTAGTATTTAATATTCAAAGTGCGGTCGTCACTGATGTCCAAAAGGTTTTCAAAAGCTTAATTTGTCATCCCAGTAGGTATACTTTTCGGGTCACATGAAAACGGGTTTGTTATCCAGCTGAAGACATCCTCAGAGTCCATGTTGGGAAAATATTCGACAATGGTTTTTCTAAACCGCTAATGCGCGTTAAAGCCAAGAAAATAACTTTTACAGCCAATTTCACGAAAGCAATTTAAGTGAAAAATGATTTTAATTTTTGGAATGTTATATAGAAATTGACAGAAAATAAAAAATCATTTTCCGTTTAAATTGCTGGTGAAACGGGCTGTTATCAATTTTCTTGGCGTTAACTTCGAAGTTACATGCGTTTTTCTGATTTACTTTGTTTACTTATGGGGGTTTCATGCAAATTGCTAGAAATTCTAAAATATAAATGTCACCAATAAAAAATCTCGACGAGCTAGAAAAAAACCAAAGATGTATTTTAATTTCACAGGCCTCTGTTATCTTCGCAGCGTCATCTAATACGGGTTTTAAATCCAGTGGCGGCATCTTTCTAGTCGCCAAGGAATACCGAGGGATCATACAGAGACTTCTCGTTGCGTTTTCTACCTCTTGCTTCATCCTAGACATCGCTCCTTTCGTTTTTCCAACCACTGCAAATATCCGCACACTTGCTCCATTTCAAACCATTTTTCTGTACAAATTTGTCGATAGCTTTAAAAATTTCGTCGCCAGTGGTGTAAGTCTCAAGTACTTCGCTCATCAAAAGTTATTCTTCGATTTGCATTCCGAATGGGTACCTCACTAACAGGAGAAGAACATAAGTCCCACTACGTCGGTACTTTCGGCAAGTTGCAAACAAAAAAATTCACAAGTTTTCAAACTTTTTATAAGTTCGTTCTCGACTGCCTCTAAAATCGTGTTAATTCGCTCTTTCACGGTGATTGTTAAGTTCCAAAGAATAAGTAACATATACACGTGCGCGAAGCTGCTGCTGCTGTCACGAGAACAGCCCAGCCAGCAAAAAATTCGAAAATTAATCCGAAAACAGTAAGAAAAGTGGATGAAACGCGGGTTAGCTCTACGAAAGTACCGAAAATGGTTGTGAAAAGGGTAAGTTTTCAGCAATTTTTCTGATTCAATTTTTCGTTGACAAAACTTACTGGGGAACTATGCCTAAGAGCCAAATGAGCTGCTAAAGGTAATTTTAATAAAAATCAAATTTTTTTGATTTTCTGGTTGCCATATTGTAGTTTTATCAAACCGTTGCGTTGTGTATGGAAAGTTTAAAGAATTTGCCCGCACCACTGGTATTTCTAGCCCAGGGGTTCTTAAACTTTTAAGATGATGGAACCCTAACTAAACAATTTTCATTTTATGAAACCCCACATCAAATTACTAAAAATCAAAGGCAGTGCAATTTAAATATGAATAAAAACTTTTACTAAAAATAGTATACATACTTTAAAATTTAATGTAAAGAATGAAATTATTTCACTATTATTAATTATTGTATAAAATAGTAGTTCGATATAATGTCTGAAAGCTGTATGCGCATTTCTGGGGTAGCATCCAATTTCGACCTGAATTTGATTTTGTATAAGTGTAAGCTGAAAACCCTGTTGACAGAGTACGTTGTGACAGAAGGAAGCAAAGCTAAGATGGCCTCTTTGGCGGCTTCACGATATTTACTCTTAACACTAACGCAAAACTCTTTCAGAGACACAGATTCAAATGTGTGGATTTTGTACCAAACCTATATTACTACTACCATCCGAAAAATAATCTGACAAAGATTTCAGGTGATTTACCAAGTGCGCAGTAATGATATTTCACATTTCATTTGGCAATTCATCGCGTTCCTTGTAGAAAGTTGTATATGTATAACTCTTTGGCTACAGCGGCCAACAACACATACCGACTAGAAAAAAACAAGCTGTCAAGCGCAAACTCAACGCTCTTATGTAGGTATGGTATTCAGTACGGCAATCATACCAACTATGAGATATACTTGAAAATAGATAATTGCGTCTCGGTCAAGCTGTTTATAGAACTTTTCTTTCTGTGTGCAACTCAAACCGATCGCCGTGCTTATTCATACCAAAATTAATTTCGCGGAACCCCGGTAACTTTTCTACGGAACCCTTGGGTTCCGCGGAACACACTATTTTCTCGATCTCCGAGAAAGGTTGCCGAAATATACATTACATAAACATCTTTGATTTGAACTCATTACTTCCATCTAAAATTGGGGAATACAATACGCTAGATGAAAAAACAATGCTTTCGAACGCGTAAAATCGCTTCGAAAACGATACGATTTTTCTTAGAAAAAAAGACGCTATCAATTTGGAAGGAAAGTATAGTGTGGTCAGAACTGTGTATAGATGCATTTCATGTCACCGCGGCCACCTCTGTGCGCGACCTCTATAGATTTGGATGAAAGTTGAAGAGATGGAAGGTCTAGGTGACATGAATGTACGTGAAGCATATTTTGACGATATGACGTAGGGTTGCCTATTTACACGGGATTTAAATTTTAAGAAAACGTCATGCATACCTTTCTTTAAAGTGCTGTATCTTGGAAACCTTTTAACGCAGCTTAATGAAACAAAATGTATTTCTTCCGTCTTGTTATGAGCTTTAATTGTGCTTTTATTACATTAATGTGCAATGTATAAAAAAAACAAAAAAAAAATTAAGTAAACATTTTTCTTTTTGATTTTTTAGCATTTTTAAAAATTTTTCTTTTTGCATAAAAACATAGTCTATAATGTCAACTTTAAGTACCCAAATGGGCATAATGGGCTACTTATGCATTTGGACTCTAGATCGTCTAACGCTAGAGCATTATGATAAATAGACATTGAAATTTTAAGAAATTGTATATTTTTGAAAGAGGAAAGGTGTGTAAAAAACAAGAACACTATGAATAAATCGTATTAACTTACCTAAAGGTCTGAAATCATGAAAATCCCTTCAAGGAAATTGCAGAATTGAACTTTGTTGC